TCCAGACCCTGAGGCGGCTGGGCCCACCTTCCCGGAACCGTCCGACCCTCGGCCGCCTCGGCCTCGGCTGCCTCCTCCGGCCTGACCCTGGGGCCAAGGGCAGGAGGCCGCTTCCGCCGAAGAGGAGGGGGCCGTGGTGGCCACCGCGGCGGAGCCCGAGGTAAGACCCGCCCAAGCGCCCCGCGGCCCTCTAGCCCGGCCCGGTCCGGCCCGAATCTCCGTGTCGCTCGTTGGCTCCCACAGGGCCGCTCCGCCCCGCCCCGGCGGAGACGCCCCGCGAGCTAGTATGCCCCGAGCCTCCCATACCCCCGATCGCGACCCCGGATCCCCAGCGGACGCCACCCCTCGTATCTCTTTCGGCCATTCCGGTTCTCCAGCCTCTTGCGAGCCTGTCAACAGACCTCCCGAAAACCCCTCCGACTCTCTTAGGACTCCTGATGGAGCCTCCGGACTCCGGCGCATCCTCCCCGGAGCGGACTCGATCCCGGTTCCTGAACCAAATTCTTTCCACCGCCCCTAACCCTGGTGTCCCCACCCCGTCCCTTCTGAGTAGACCCCCTTGCCCAGTCCCTCATCGCCAAGCGGAGTAGCTCTTCCCCTGCCCATCACGGCTTCCAGAGAGCCCAAGTTCTGGTGCTCTTGCTCTCTGCAGATGTGGTGTCAGACCCTCTGGACACCGTCACAGGCTCCGACCTGTCCCCCACCCCCCGCCGCAGCCTCCCTCAGACCCCTCCTCAAGCAAACCAGTTGTCTTCTCCCCAGTCGTGAGCCTTTCTTTGGTTGAAAGGGCTTTGCCTTGAAATCCCGGGGGATGTTTGCTTAGCCTAGTGTATTCCCGCCAGTGTGGCTATGGGGACCCACGTTGGGAGGATTTAGGCTTAAAAAAAAGGAGGGAGGGAAGGGTAGGGAAGCACCGGTCTGGGGGTGTGTGTGCCATCATAAGTTCACACAGCCTGCTCCTAGTCTTGTCTGCTGTAGAACGCGCGAGGTCGTCCAGATCTGACGTTTTAGGGGCTCTGTAAGGATTAACTCACAACACGCTAATGGGTGTAAGTGTGTCTCCTGGTAATACTTCATCTCCTTGTCGATTTCCACAAATATTGTGCACTGTTTTTGAAAGATACTGGGGGACTTTTTTGGATTCACGCTTTTGGATTTGCTAGAAAAATAGGGTTTGTGGCTTTCCTTAATCTCTGAAAACTTCAATGTCAATCTAATGATAAAATTTGCTGCTACCTGGTGCTGCTGTCTTGCTTCTGCAAGAAGTACAAAAATCATGCAGTCTTCACTGATGTATTACCAACAGTCTTCTCAACAGTAGTAGAATGTTGAATAAAATGTTTGTTGAAGTTGAAATCCTGAGCTGTCAAAAAGGAAATGTAATGTTACATCAGGTGATCAGTGCATAATTTTAACGTTGGTATAGGGATGAAATATAAAGAAGTCTTTGTAGGCCTGGTGTGGTGGCTCATGCCTGTAATCCCAGCACTTTGGGAGGCTGGGGAGGGAGGATTGCTTGAGAGCCTAGGAGTTTGTGACCAGCCTAGGCAACATAGAGAGCCTTCGTCTCTACAAAAAGATAAAAAAATTAGCCGGGCTTGGTGATGTGCATCTTTAGTCCCAACTACTCCGGAGGCTGAAGTGGAAGGATTGCTGGAGCCCAGAAGTTGGAGGCTGCAGTGAGCCATGATTGTGCCACTGCACTCCAGCCGAGAC